CAGATAGGCCTCTCTGCGTCAGTCAGTTTTTGCCACCTTTGTTTTGAGCTGTAGGGATCGGTGCTGGAGCTGATGCAGGTCACACAAACGAAGCTGTGAGATCCACAGCTCGCCTGTGCTCATACAAGCAGCGCGTGCTGTTCGGATGGTGGGAAGGAACTGGGAGTCTGAGCCCCTCCTGTACCACTGAGACAAGGTTATGTCAGGGAATCCACATGGTGAAAGAACAGCTGCTCTGTTTTCACCAAAATTGAAGAATTTTTTTCTTCTATGTTACAGAAGTTAGCAAAATCTCTTTTTGTGATAGCCCCATAGTTAGGCAGACTGCTTCTGGAACCTGGTCGCTAGCTCCAGGATGCCAGCAGTGCCACCACGTTACCTGGATGTGTACGTGCCTCTGCGGTGTGGGAAAAGGGATCTTTCCTATCCCTCCCCTCACCTGGAAGCTTCCCAGGAAAATTCGCTGGGCAAAAGGAGCAGCAGGTGTGTGAGTTCGTTGTGACACGGCTGCGTTTCACTGGAGGATGTGGCCAGTTTTAACGATGGTTGAGTTCTGCAGGACTTCCTCACGGGAGCAAGAAGTCCCCCTGTGAACCCACCGTCTGCTTCCAGAACTGCTCAGCCGCTTGTTTTGGGGAGCTGCCCGCTTCGCTCTCCCTGTCCCTTCACAAGGGAGCAGCTGGTGGTAGGCAGGGAACAAACCAGGCAAGGGCTTTCCTCCCTGGAGCTGAGCTGCCACGTACAGGATTGACAAGCCTTTGGATTTTTGGCAGCCTGAACCTGCCTGGTAAACAACCTTGGAGAGTGACTCATGGTAATGTGCTACTGGAAGTATTTCTTGGTGTTCAGACCCACGTTTCTGTATCAAAAAACCCTTGGTAGTTAATCCTGTAGTCATTTCTGACTTAACGGGCACCTGCTAATAAATAAAATTTAATTCGGTAGTTGAAGATGAGAAAGCTGAGGTGATGGAGAATTCAACAGGTTAAAAACAAGTGATCCTGAGTGACATACACGGGGTGTCATTTGAATAAATAAAGCTGTCACATTTTGTATTCTGGTTCCTTCTTAAAATCATCCCGCTTGCTTGCCTAGGGCTAGATTTGAGTGTTGCTGCTGCAGGGTAACACCTCTGATTCAATCTATGCAGGAAAAAATAAAAATAAAAAAGCTGATGGTGCATGCTAGGAAGTTGATATTAGACCATATGACTAATTTTAGTTTGAAAATACCTTTTTTTTTTCCCTTTTGTGCCGTAAGAGGCTTATCTTTTACCTGACTTGAGACTTCCCACACAAAGCTAAGTGAGATTTACCTGGCACGGGGTGGATCAGTGTACATCAAGGTGGAGAAAGTCATTAGCTGTCTCCTGCTGAGACCTTGTACCGAGGACAGCCGAATGATGAGCCGCTGAGTTCAGCACCAGGGAAGGGGAAATTCCTGCTTGTTATTTCACTGCTTGCTTCTTGGGGCTCGTCGACTTGTTAGCTGAGCCCCTTACGTGGCTGTGGAGGTGGCTGGGGATGGGCCAGGAATTGAACCGAAGGAGGAAGTTTGCAAGAAAGCTGACATGAGATGCCTTTCCCCTTGCACAGATCCCTGGAAAAAACATTCACCCCGATCTGCTGAACCCTCCTGCTGCAGAGTTGAAAGCAAAATGCTGGCTTTGCTGATTCATCTGGGGAAGCGTTTCTGCTGTTCCCGTTTCCTTGCAGCATCTGAACACGTTTTGTTGAAATACCTTTTCAAATGCAGGGTGGCTGAGGGCCTCAGACGGGGTGTCTGCCTGTGAGTGAGGTGTTCCACGGGACCCACAGAGGTATTCAGCTTTGGGGATACTACTACAGCTCATGGCTCTTTCTTTATTTTTTAAAGCTTTATCTATTTACAAGTGTTTCAGGGCTTTTGAGAGTATTTCATAGGAGTAGTCGCTTCGGGTTTTAGTAGGTTAAGCTCGTATATAAGGAGTACAACAGAAATAGCTAGATTTATTTTTCTTTAAAGTGCCGGTGCTTTAGAAATTTTCACCATGAGGATTGTTATTCACAGGCATTTGGGAACGCTGATGTTAAACAGATCCTATCTTGCCAGTTTGAAAGCTTTGCTCTGCTTCTCCTCCTCGGGGAAGGGCCGGCCGCACACCTCGTGTCTCTGTGGGAAGCAGCAGGAGTGAAGCCGCAGCTGGTCCCTGTGCTGCACCTGTCCCAAGAAGCCTTTTGGTTGCTTCTGAGCTAAGCTCTGGCCTGCAAAAAGAGAATGATGCGGCCTTTTAAAGCGAGGGGATTGAAAAGGAGGTGACTGCGCTCCCTCGGGGTGAAGCCTCGGGCATTACTGTGACACTTCAATGGAGGAGAGAAGAGGAGAATAACCCAAATGATATTTTCTTCTGGCTCTTGTGATTTAGTCTAACGATGGCCATTTTGATGCTAATCTCATTAAATATCTCTACTGGATACGCAGCAATAAAAAAACACTCGGTTCTGGTGTCTGGAGTCGGAACCTCTCTCAGGGCGCAGGCAGGTGACAGCTCCGGTTCGTGTGAGTCTTCTGAGGGCCCGGATCCTCCTGGGACCCTACAGCAGGAGGTGCGGGCCCATGGCAGCCCCCCCGATGGCTTTGTGGGGTGACATGGCCATGATGGGGAGCCCTGGGGCAGTGGCTGCGAGGCACCAGGCCCGGCCTGAGCTCGTCATGGGGGCTGGTGCCCTCACTGCTGCCCTTCCTGGAGCTGTGACTTGGTTTTAATAAGCACCTTAGTCAGAAGCTGTAATTCTCTGGGTATTGCTCTGTTGGAAGAAAGCTCTCTGAAATCTCAAGCAGCAGCAACTTGCATTTCCAGACCGTAAAGCCCCAGAAGACAGAAGTTCAGTACCTATTGATATGCTGATGATTTCAAGGTCAGGCTAGCAATCAGCTGGTGCGCTGTCACTCATTATGGTAATCGCCTTATCTGTACGTGAGGGTTCTTCACTCCGCTGTCCTCTCGCAGCAGAATTCAGAAGTTGGTTATTTGTCCTGCACAGCCCCTGCCTTCGTTCCCCCGGGGCTTCAGGGGAAATGTGCAGCCAGGGCTGGTGTAAAGGCGGCGCTGGGGCAAAGGCGAGGAGCTTCTCTTCCAGGTGGGACTGCTGGCAGCTGCTGGAAACCAATGTACAAGTACAAATGAATCTGTAACTGAACAACTGTTTTTGAAATTATATTAAATTAAGCTCTTCATACTGCTGGGAGAGTGGGATGGAAGTGCTGTTGGCATTGCAGTTGTTGAAATACGACGCGTCGAGTTAGGAAAACAGCAAAGCATTGTTTTATGTTGAATTACTATTTTTATGTAAATGGAAAACACTACGAGCATGTATTCATGCCAAGACTGTGCCTTGTACATTAATAAGAGGCTATAACAAGGAAATCGTAATATACAATGTATTTTTCATAAACCAAAGTGTTGGCTTCTTTAACCATAACTTTAATATATACAATATATAATTGCAATGCTTTATAAGCATTTCTTAACAAGAACATTTTTTGAGCAGTCACTAAAAAGCAGCAATCAGTAATAAAAATGAGGGCACTAGCACCCAGACCACAATAAAAGCATCATTAAAGTGTAAGTTCTAAGGTACACTACTTCAAATTTGCCTCATTACATGGGCAATTAGGGAATAAACAATAAAAAGCCCATTTTTTTTTTCTATAATTTCTTATCCTAACTACCTTTTAAAAGTTTAATTAATGTAAGAAACCAACCCGTGGTGGGGTGAGCCAAGGTTTAGCGAGCAGCACCATCCATCGGTGCTCACCGCCTGCTCCCCATGCACAGAGCTCCCCTGGCAGTGGTGGTGTTTGCCAAGCATCGAGGGCATGGCACAGCCCTCTGTGACACGCACGGCCCCAGTCCTGCTCCTCTGGGGAAACGGAAGCAGCCTCCAGCGTTAACTGTGTGTGTTCTGTTACCCTGAGGTGGGTGTTGGTTGAGGCAGCAGTCACTGAGCGATTTCAATCCATGTACTCTGCTGCTCAGGCACCAATTTTGTAACCCGTTTGGTTTCAGCTGGACAGATCTGTTAGCTATGGATCTAGCAGTAACAGAAATCAGGAGGAAAAAGTGCTAGGGAACCAGAGCTCTTCTGGCAAGAATAAACAGTTAAAAAAAAAAAAGGTATAAAACTAGTTCCTGCTGTGCAATAGGGCACACCGAGATTTTGCTTCCCTCAAAGGGAATGATTCCAAACTTCAGGAAGGATGTGCGTAGGGTCAGAACATAGAAGCTGTGTGAACTGTGGACTTAGAAGCTGGGTTTTCTGAACTACTTCTAATGAAGACCAAGCTTCTGCTCGGATGTTGTTTAATGAACTTCATTGCTGAGTGTATTTAGGAGGCCTGAGGCCAAAGGGTGAGTTCCTTGGCCAAAGGCAAAAAGCAGAACACTTTATTGGTGCTTAATAGGAAGTACAGGAAAGGAAAACGTGTATTCACTTTGCACGTGCCATGGTGCTGGGATCTGCACCATTTGAAGAGCACCTGGAAGAGAATAGGACACAGACATCTGTAGCTGTAGGGCATCGGACACCTGCTTTGAGAAGAAACTCACTTTGGAAGTGGTACGTTAACTGAAAGCTTCGCCATAAACTCCCAAGATATGAAGATTAATGGAAGTATGGCTTCAGATGAGGTGGGGCATTGGTGTTGTTTTTAACATTACAGTGTTAGTTAAACAGCGGTCACTGAAGTTTTGGGCCTGGGTTAGAGATTTCATAAAGGCTGACGATGGGCCTTGCACATCTCAGCTCAGAACTTCTTGCCAGTGTACAGGAGAAGGAGACCTTGCAGCACTGAGTGTCTCCTGCACGTGGTACCCGATAGGGACGGGAGCTGCAGGCTCTGGCGCTGCCAGCAGCTCTGTGCTGCAGCTGGGTGACTGAGCAAATAGCCCACACCTGCGCTGGGGTTTGGGCAGCAGCAAATGACACTGCGCTAATTGGAAGCGCGAGAAGGAACTTAACGCGGGGAGCAAATAATTGCCAGAGATAAAATGGGGCCAGAGGATGGCTGATGCTGCTGATAGGAAAGGCCAGAGGAAGATTATATAGTTGGAAACACTCGGAGACGCGTCCTCTGTGTAATTAGAAAGAGGACCTAGGTGCGTTATTGTGGAGTGATGGAGAAACTTAGGCGATCTCATTGCAGATAATGGGGTAAATTTATTTCTCCATCTAGTTATGTTTCTGTGAGATTTTTATCTGGTAATTGTGTTTGTCTGCAGCATACAGACTGATGGCAACCTGGCCCTGCTTAGCCTGTGATATCTGTCAGGATCGCGGTGCTGGGAGGCGTGACTGACGTGCTGATTCTTTCGGTATTACCATCGGGAATCCCAGCACCCTGGAACAAGGGAGTAGGAGATGTTAAACAGATGGGAGACTTTGCAAATACACCGTAACTGCCGGCGTGGGAATATCAAGCAGCCATGCAGTGAGGATTCTGTATGATATTTTTCTGTAGCGTGGTTAAATATCCAGCTATATCTAAATCTTCTCGAGCTAATATGTTAAGCCTCCTTCCTAACCCCCTAACGTACAGAATGAGGACAGTGGAGAAGGAGCAATTAAAGACAAGACAAAAATGCCTACTTGTCAAAGAAAGGGTTCAATACTTTGTTTCTTTGCTGAAGGGGAAAAAGAAAAGAAAAAAAAAACAAATGGATATAAGCTCAGGTAGTAACTTTAAATTAGCTTAGCTTGCTGATGCCTTAAGACTGGGGATTAGTGAATTTAATTATGGGAGCCAGGAAACGCATTAAGATAACGTTGGGCCTTAAACTAAAACCCACAAAGCAATGAAATTAAAGTTGGTTTGTGTTCCATCTTCATAACGTCCCCTTCTTGCTGTGCAGCAGCACAGGAGGCCTCCCCACCCGGCTGGGTGCTCAGCGTCTGCCTCGGAGGACGGCTTGTGAGTGACCGAGCGCCCTGCAGGAGCCTTTTGCAGTCTGGGAACGGCCTGCTCTAGTGTCAGAGCTGTGTGTGAGCTAAAATGTCTCAGGTAGGGTCGGTGTCGCCCTGTTCCTGTCCGGGTGCCCATCTTGGCCGAGGTTCCACCCGAACCGTTCGCATCAGGCTGGGCGGCTGCAGTGAGGAGCGTTGGGTGTAGGGGTGAGATGCAGGCAGTTATTGGCACAACACTGCTGCTGTCCTAGGATGAAGCTGGGCTTGTTCCTGCTTTGTTTTCACCCTCCTGCTCTACCTCGTCTGCTGGTCATTATTCTTTGTAGCTGGGCTTTGTATTTACTTTTCATTTTTTAAGAAAAAAGATAAAGATTAAACCCCTTTAAGACGACTTTTATGAGGAATCCTAATTCTTAGTCTGTTTGCTGACAAATTATATAATATTGACCTTTCTCTTGCCTTCACTGGATGTTGATTTTTCTTCCATTTCCTGGTGTGGAAGTTGCACACCCCTTACCTTGCGTTTTTAACTTAAAAGCGATACAGTTTTAGGGGAACGTAAGATTGCCTTGAAAAAGGAAACCAATTTACTTGTCTTGGGTAATGCCATTCTTCCCTGTGCTTTCTGTTACTTAGTTTTTTTTTTTTTTTTGCTTGTTTTGTACTTACTTTTTTTTTTTTATCTGATAAAAATGCCTTTAAAAGACTTCAGTCCAGAAGTACTGCTCCTAACCAGAGGAACTGGGAAAGTTACATGTGTGAGTTCAGAAAGGTTTTGAGGAATAGAAAAGGTTTGAGTCCCCTTTAAAGACTTAAATCAAAGATCTTGAGTACCAGAGCGATCTGTGGCTGTGTTTATCAGTGGGGGAAATACCCGAGGTACATACTGAACGGAAGCATGAGTGCTGGCACCAGGCTCAGCAAAAGAGCAAACCTCGGCAGTTCCCATTCGTCATCTGCATCATCAGCCATCAGTCCTTCAGCACGTCTGTGACGCTGTCCTGGTTCCTGCTGTTGCCCAAGAAGTAAGAGCCCCACGAAGCTGCTGCTGTGGATTTGAATCTTTGTACTCGAACTGCACGGCCTCCTGGGGGCCCTCCTGTCTGGGGAGTCACTGGCGCATTCTGGGCATCTCAATTTCTGTAGGAAAGAAACATACCTGAATCCATGACGGTTCCTTATATCCCTAGTAAATCAGCAATATCTTAAAGATGGCTCTGGATACATTATATTGAATTAAATTAAAAATGTGGAGAATAACAGACTGAAACTCATGAAAAATGCTGTTGCTTTCTGCAGGACGTGTTTGTTTTTATGGCTTTCTTTGGTGGGTTGAGCAGCCCTCTTATCCTTTCAGTAGTCTCAGCTTTATGTCAGTTTATATATTCCGTGTTTTATGGATCACTGGAAGATAATTCTGTTGTTTTCTATTAGACCTTTAGTAAATAAAATGTCAGGGTTTTTTTCCGGTGCTGCAGAGGCCAGTATCCAGCTGGTATATCAATTCCTGTCAGTGCCTTGCCTTCTTGTTTGTTCCGGGGATTCTCTTGTTTTCACATTGGTTTAAATCATTAATCCTGATCGTATTTTTCACAGAATAAAAATACTTGTTTCAAAAGCGTATTCAGTAGTATTTTTATGCTTTCCATACCACTTCTGGAAGTGTGATTTAGAAAGAAAACAAAGAGCCTCTTCCAGCTCCACTGACTTTGTGTGGGGCATTTTCTTTAAGTTGCTGCAAGCACTGCCGGGCTTGGGAGGCTTGCGACAGAGCACAGCATCAGGCTGCAACCCACAGCAGGTTCCGTCTGCAGGCACAGCTGGATATTCAAACCTCATCCTGTGTTTGATAAATACAGAATTTTTGGTTTGGGGTCAAAGTCATTTGGGGCTGCTTTGGGAATTGGAGAGCTTTTACCCATGCCAAGCGCCTCTGTGCTGCCTGTGCCCAGCTCTGCAGCTCCAGCAGCAGCGTCTGGCTCGTGGCTCCCACGCACACCTCGGAGTAGGACGAGCCCCACAGCCAGGGCAGGGTGCTCGGTGCTGCCTCACCAATTCACCCTGCAAACATCCCAGCAACACAGCTGATGCTGAACAGAGCGGGCCTGGGGCACAGGCTCTTTGCAGCTACCTGGTGCCCATCAGTGCAGGAGCTCGTGCCCTTTCTCGCTGGTGTATTCACATCCTGTTGTCGGAGTTCCTCTCGGGATCTTTTAGAGTCCTGAGCTGTTGCAGTTCTGTTCAGTTTTGGATGGGTTGGGATCTCATTTTGATGCTGTAGACATGTCATTGTCACTGCCGTGATGGCCATTTCAGGCTTTTATTGCTAGCTGTATGTTGTGGAAGTCTGCTAGTGAAAAGCCTGGAAAATGACATTTATTTTAATGCCATGTAATTGCAAAGAAAATTGAAAGTTGTTTGAGATCCTCCTGATTCAGCACTTCCAAAATTCCTTGAGGAGTCCTTGTTGATCGTTCTGCAAGCAGCGATTCGGCTTCACAACAGGAGTTTTGTTACAGAAGGTATGGGCATGTACATCACACATGCCATCAGCCCCGTTCCCCTTTCGTCCCCTTTCACCCCGCTCCCTAAATGCCACATGGGGCTGGTAGTGCCGACCCGCACGGTGGAGGCTGGGCCACGAGGCTGGGTGCAGGTGGTAGGGCCCGAGTGCCGGCAAGAAATGCCAAATGACCTTGCCAAGCTCGCTGACTTGTTTGTCTGTGCTCACGCGGGGTTTGCATGCATACTAAGCAGCTTCCCTATGAAAAATCCTTGAATTCCAAAGATGCTATTCACAGTAATTGCACTTTAAGAGGAAAAAAGGGCATTGCAGTGTTGTTATTTACAGTGCTCGCTGCACAGTGGCTTTTGTAACAACTCAATAAAGCTCAGCCACTTGCGTTACTCCTTAGTTATGCTTTTTCCTCTTACTTTTTTTTAAAGACAATAAAGCATTAAGACATTAAAAACATCCTCAGTCTGTGTAAATTTTGTATAAATGGAAGGATGATTAGAGATAGAAAAAGTCCCTTTAGCACAGGGAACGTTTTAATACACAAAAGAAAATAGTATAAATTGTGTGGGTTCAGGCTTAGGAAATTGTTGCTACTCTTGCTAGTTTGTGAGGCTTAAAGTTAATTTCTAACAACTTCATGTCAATTGTATTAATTTTCTCCTACCAAATTTCCGTGATTCCCTGTCTGTGTTGCAGAGCTCATGTCAGCAGCCTAAGGGACGGTTGCTGACCCAGGGAAAGGTGCCCAACTGCTGGCACCAGCTGTGCCAAAAACTTACATTTTCGCCCCTGCAGCAACACCTGCATGGCCAGTGTAAGGCCCGCATCCTTCCCCTGGATCGCAGGTTACTGCTAATACCTTGCTGAGCCTTTTCTGCTGTACTTTCCGATGGTTATTTATTGATCTGCTTTTGGCAGCTGGTGAAATGCCAGCTTTTAGTTTTAGCCATTGGCCTCATTTTATTTAAACCTTATAAAATTTTATCGTTTCTCTTCAGTGGTGAGAATGTGTAAACACTTCTAGGATGGCTTAGAGCAAGGCTTTTCGTATTTTTCTGCTTTAACCCTTAAAACTCTCGTTGTGCAGATTTCATAAAGGGAACATGAAAAATTCCTTCACCCATCCTTCCTCCAGCGTTTTAAAGGCAGTGACCTATCTGTGACAGTGTTGGCCTGAAGGGAGAGCGAGGGAGCCACGGTGACATTCAGAATTCCTGCAGATATAAAAAAACCTTAATGATAAGTCACAGCCCAAACAAAATTCATAGCCAACTGTTTTTTGTTTTGTTTTGTTTTTTGCGTTGACAACAAAACATAAATGTGTATGTCCTTAGAAAGTAAAGAGCAAAGTTTTTTGTTTTGCATATCTGAATGCTAATTGCTCTTGTAGTGCAGAAAAACGCGCAGAAGGACATCTGGCTTGGGGATTATCTTTTTGACACAGAAGGGTTGGAGAGCACTACTGGGTTCCTTTGTAGGAACTGCAGAAACAGAGACAGATGTGGCAAGAATCACAGACCCTATTAAAAGCCAACCTTCCTCTATTATTAATATTCAGTTACCATATGCAAGTTTCTCTACAGTGATAAAAAATAACATTTACAGAATGTTGTAACAAAATATCCTGACCATTATTACTATAAATAAGTTTATTTATAAGAAGATTCTTGGATGAACTTCAGGAATGTCACTTTTCAGGGCTGATGTATTCACTCAAGAGCTCTTGAAGATGAGAACGTGGAGAATATTTGGGGGCTGTTAAATATGTTGTCATTTTAAGTCATCCAGCTATTCTCTCTATATTTACCTAGTATTTAATCTGTGTTACTTTTACCACTAAATTGTCATCTGAATTTTTATCATCTCCTCCTTATGCAGTTAGAGCCACTGGTCCCTGTTCTGCTCAGAACATTCCTCGCAGAGCTGCTTGGAGCTGGTCCTGTTGTAGCTTGGTCCTATTGCTCCGGACTGGGCTGTAGTAAGCATGACCTGCTCTTTGCAGGAACTGAGTATTTATAAATTTGGAAGACCAGACAAAGCAGTTACGATAATGATGTCTGACCTGCTGTGTCACAAAAGCCATCGCCTCTCACCAGCTGAAATAATTGCTTTGCCTGGGCCCTGTTGGAGTAGTGCCGTGCTGAATGGATCCAGTAGCACTGGCAAATAAATGGAGAATAGCAGAGGGGCTTGAAAATGCTATAGTAATGTAGGCTGTTGCTCGTTGTTTATACTTTTTTGGAGGATTGCTGTATTTATATACGGACTAATTAATTTTCGTATTCCCAGTCTGGATAATAAAAGGTTAATCAGTTGCCTGCAGCATAGAGTATGGGAAACAGAAGTAGTTTGTGACAGTGTTGAGAGGAAACAGGCGCACTCCCATTTCATTGTATTTCTGACTGACAACTCTGTGGATGCATCCAGCCGTAAGCCTGCAGCAGCTCTTCGGGGGCTGCTTTCCTTCAGCTCCGTGCAGCTCACTGGGGCAGACCTGGCTGCAGAACCGGGGGGCTCAAAGTTTTACCTAACGTGGGTCCTCCAGAGAGGGAGCTGGTAGAGTACACCCACCCATACCCCTTCTGCACTTGTGCTGGGCAGAATGTCGATGACTTCCATTTTAATAAATCATCTAGCTGGTATTCATGGTGAGTTGCTTATATAATTAAAATTCCAGTCTAATCCAACTTCCATGTGTGAAAGATCGTAGTAAAACAGCAGACTCCAGGCACGTTCCTCTGTCCTGTGATGCTCCGTATTTCCCTTGGTGAAGTTACGTGGGGATTTCATTTGGGTTTCACTGCTGAAGGATGCCACAGCTTTGATAGCATGCGACAGCCTCAGAAGCAGATTGTGAAGCAGGAATTTTTTTTCTGCTTTATCTTTGTTTTAATTTTGCTAGGCATTTCACTTGTCTCTAAACCCTGCAGTACTGCAGAAATGGCACAGAGAAATATCTCTGTGTGCAAAACACTGGCACCAGATCTAATGTTAGCCTTTTCATTACTCACCTCTTATGGTAGCAACCAGACAGACCCAGAGAAGAGAGGTTGTGTGGTGTACAATAGCAGATTTCAGCTGGGTCTAAACAGATGGAAGCAGGAAATGAGAAATAGTGACAAACATTACATGCCTTGTATTCTCTGCAATAAATTCATCTGACTGCTGAGTTGCTGTGTATATCTGCAAAATATGTCTACAGCTAATTTTAGGGGCACGGTTTATTTTATTTGGCATCTCCATAGCCTTTGGCTTGTCCCCTGTGGCTGTAGGCAGATAATATATTTTTATAGAGCTCAGTTTACTTTTATGTATTTCTTTGTAGCAATTAAGTGTTTTAATTTCTTTTCTCCTAAGAATGTGTATCTGGTTTTAGGTTCACTTTTGTCTAACAGGCATCTTTGCTGCAAGTGTATCAGTGCCATTCATAGGCAAGAAATGAGGTTCACTGGGGCTGCAACAGAAGGGGTGCCAGAGCAAACTGCTGCAGGCCGTTCTGCGTCTTGTTCCAGCAGTGGCAGTGAGACACGGGTGCTGTGACCGGTGCTGCGGGGTGTCCAGGGGATGTAGCACTAGCTTGGTTTGATTCCCAAGGCTCTAACACAAAGCCCACAAAACCAATGTGCTACAAAATCAATCATCGTTACTGCTGTGGCTTCCAGAGCTACATGTTGGAGATGGAACTGATGAAATCCAGTAATGCTAATCAGGATCAAGAGTAAAGCAGTCCCGTTCTGCGTATTGCAAGCAGTGAAAGATTACAATTGGGACAAAAAGTCATGGTGCTAGGGGAAACCAAAATTAAACAAGAAGTGTATTGATGTAGTCCTGAGGGAATTTCACGTGAGACAATTCCCATTCGGTTCCCAGGATCCCCCTGGAATCCCCGGGTGCTCATGCCCGTGGGGCACCTCTGCCTACCTACACGTCTTCTCTGGGCCACTACAAGGGACTGCATGGAGCTGCAGAGCCGCCGGGTGAGCCGTGAGCCGGAGGGGAGCTCAGAGTTGTGCATTGGGCCTCACCACGACTCACCACAGGTTGGATGTGACGAACTCAGCGAGATACTTTGAGAGTCAGAATTGTCAGAATCTGCATGCCTTGCTGTCTGCAGGGTGCAAGCATATGAATATTTAGCAGGAAATTCGCGTGATAAAGCAGCACAGTTTGTTCAGAATCAGCTAATTCTCTGTTCCATTAGTACAAAGTGAAGAACGCTGCGGATTGGGACCGTGTATTCATACAAATAAGTTCTTAAATTATTTTTTTTCCTTATGCCACCTGTTCTGGCAGCTAAAAATAAAATAGAATTTTATATTGTATTATTACTTGAAAATGGAAACAAATGAAACAAGGCTGCACAGAAGTCATTTCCATTCTGTGCTATCCATTCCCGTGTCAGCTCTCTATTAGTCATGATCACTGGCAGCGCGGGCAGGGCTGCTGCTTCCTATGCTTGTGGGCAAACGTTTGCATTGTAGCTCATTGATTCTAGCAAATCATAATAGAACCGAGCCTGTGCTTACTCCTGTGACTATTTGCTTACCTTAAGTTTGCAGAGACTGATTGAATCTGAAGACAAACAGCCTAATATTTTCGGTAGGAGTATTGGATTCATAAATCTTCAGTTCATCCCGTTGTTAAAATTTCATATTCTGTAAAGAAAGATTGTAGATGGGGTAACCCAAATGTACAGCAACTTGTTCAATCATCCCGCCCCGATTTCCATAGCAGCGAATTACCCCGTCATGCAGCAGTGTACATGTACGTGCCCCCATTGTGCATGGCTGCTGACTCGGGGGCACGGCAGGTGAGGTGCGGGATTCCTGGCAGCATGATTCTTGGCAGGAGTAAGAAATACACGCTCACTTACAAAAGCCACATGAAGATTGGAGCTAGCACCTGGAAGGGAAAAATGAATGCAACTGGGTCTTAACTGCCCAGTACTGATCCCATCTTACAGCCTGGCTCTCGGTGGCCGGGCTGGTAAGGGTACTTGGATGGAAGTTTACAAGGAGTTGGGTAGTGAGGTGGGAACTTACTGTACAGCAGAGACCGATTGTCAATTAATTGATGTCGTGTAGCAAAGAGAACTGCTGGAAGGGAAAGCTGAGGGAGCAGTTATGTGAGAGACAGTAACATCCGAGCCTGCTTTCAGGCAAGTGACCTGTGGAGCAACTTGTAAAAATAGCCAGGTCAGTTGAGAAATCCCTGGAGCTATAGAGAGTGAGGTTTGAATTGCTGTACTGGCTTTTATATACAGGAAGAAAGTAAACCAGATATATTTAGAGAAGGATGTGACGAGAAGCTTCATTGTGCCTCCTTCAGCAGGGGAACAGACCAAGTCTTCAAAAGTGAGAACTTCATAATAAATTCAGCTTTGTAGTTATTTATGTTGTAATTACTCATAGTGGGAATTATTTTCTTGCATGTGGGTGCCGAAAGAAGGACTGATTTTGTACCGTATACACAATAAGCATATGACACTCTTCTATTAAAAAAAAAAAGGTGCTGAACATCATCTTTGTACCTTCTGAAATTGCTGCCTTATCTTGGCAGTGATCACAGATTGATAAACCTATATACAGTGTTATGAAGAGTGCTGTATGAATGCCAGGAATACTAAATAATGATGCTCCTACTTGTGCACCTGTTTGGTGTCTTCACCTGAGAAATTCCCTTGCAAAAGAAAAAGCCAAGGCTAATATATCTTGGGAATATTAATGCATTTGTTCTTTGGGATATGTTTTTATTGACCCTTATTAATATGGCACTATGGGAATTTTCTATTCAAGAGACAAAATCCTGTTTAGAAAACCTGTAGCTTGGAATCCTCTCTCCTTGCATTAATAAGGGAAGAAGCTTGCCTGACTGGGGGTGCCCCCAGAGACTATGTACCAGCAAGAGACAGGAGTTTGAAGATAAAAAATAGAGTTCTAATTCTTAAAAATGCCTAGAGAAATTGAAGGTTTGAAATGAAAGTTTTAACTGCAGTAATACGAGTAGCAAACGGAGCCAAATCTGTAGTCAGACTGACACAAGAAGAATTTCTCTCAGTGACTTCAAATGAATGCTTGCACCTGTACTTCTGGGCCCTTCACGGCATCTGGCTCCAGCTTACCTGGGAAAATCCACCATGGGTGGATGGTACCCAGTGGTTTTGCAAAGCGGGTCGTGTCGATGTATGTATTTTATCTGAAGTATCTGCTGCTGGTCTCGGGCGCTGGAGTGTCCTGCCCGAGCATTTACATAATAGCTTGCACTCAAGAACAACTTTTTTTTTTTTTTTTAAACTTCAAGAGAAAGCAGCCCAATATTCTCTTTCATATGGTTTGGAAAACATAGAGCTTTTCCTGAAATATAATTTCCCAACCAGTTTGCCAAAAATTGTAAAGTGTATTTTCAGTAGTTGCAATCTTACCCCTGAAAATGCTCATCTGTAACTGCTGGTACTGGGTGACCATACGGGCATTATCACTGAAGTGTATTCGGCTGCTTCTTGTTTCATTCCTCTCGACCTTCTAATTTAGAAATGCAAGGCGTTTATTTGATGAATGCAATCCACGAGTCCTTTTGTCCTGCCTTGCCTTTTGTCCCATTGTCCCAGAGGCCCATAGACCCCGAACCCAGTGAAGCAGGAGGTAGCGAATCTATTTTTTCAAAGTGCAGCGTGGAGCTTGTCACATTTCTTCATAGCTCCTAATTAAAAGCAAGTAACACAAACTTAGCTTTAGGTTCCTGTAAATAGGTATATTAGTACACAAAAAGTACTTTGCCACTTGATCATGCGGTTAGTTGTGACCTTGTTTCTAGCACTCCACGTTTCTAACAAAACCTGTCAGCGTTACAGTGAGCGCAGCCTTCACGTCCGACGTGCTTTGTTAGCCCCATTGTACAAACCCTGCTTTAAGCAGCTGTGGCCTGCAACACTGCTTGGTTGCCTCTTCTGCCAGAAGCAAAGCTGCCTTCTGCCCTCACTTACTCGTCCTGTCCTCCAGTGGCAGCCACAGTAGCACTGAGATTTTGAGGATTTTGCTTTCATTAATATTGTAATTGTGGCAATCCACCATCATAGTGCTTGGTGGATTTACATTCTTATCCCCCCCCTCTGGCCTCTTCAGACCTTTGTGTCTTTCGGATACAGATTGCTTCTTTTCCCTTGGTCTGCCTCAAGGTCTGTTATTTTTTTTAATTCGTTTGCAGCTGAGCATCCAGCGAAATTAAGTTCTCGTGCCCACTTTTGGGTGAGGATGGACAGAGCAGAGCTTAGCAGAGCTGCAATGGTACGAAAGCCCAGGGCAGCGGGCTAATAAGGGAAATAAAGGAACTCTGAAAAGAAATGGCACACGAAAAAAGACACTCCTCAGCTCAGAGAAGTCGGGCAGTGTCGGGTTGTCCGTGTGGCATGTGGCTACAGACGGCCGGCAGGAAGGAGAGGGCAGAGCAGGGCCGTGCACCATGTCCGTGGAGCACTGCTGGGTGCTGCGGAGCTGGTTGTTTGATTTCTGGTGGTTGCCCATGCAGGCTAAACATTTCCTTTTTTATTGTTACAGCAAGACTTGTGCGTCCCTTCCTTGCATCAGAAGTCAGATTTTATTTCATTTCCAAGATAATTTAAAATGACCAAACTGATTTTTTTTTAGTGGCCATCACCTGCCAGTTGTGTTCAGAACGTTTTTTTCTACTTTGCTGAAATCCTGCATCTGCGCTGGTCCTTCCCAGTTACTGACATGCTTTATTTTCAGTGTGGGCTTATAGTGTATGTTAAAATGTCAGACGAGCTGTTGAAATAGAGCTTCACGATGACATAAAATTTGGTGCTTGCTGGCCCAATTGTTTCACGATGAGTGATGAATTCAGAAAAATAGGGTAGGAAATAAGCAGAAAAACAGGTATTCAGGGATAAAGCACTGTTGACAATTATATTTTAATAAAGGAGGAATTTTTAATAATGCCTTAATGTTCTTGAAGAAAAGATACTGGATGATTATGTTTGTTTACTCTTTTTTTTTTTTAATCCATCAGGAAAACAGGAACTACGAAGTATGAAATTATGAAAATACTGATAATGTTCTACCTGTTTACCAGACCAAAGGTGTCGTTAGACCATTAAAAAAAAAAAAAGGCAGTTGTGCTTAAGATGTTTTGGGTGCTGCTTGTTTAATGTGAATAGTATGCCTGAGGAAACCCTTCAGTTACTTAGAATCCAAGTAGGTAATCCAGCAGAACCACTAAAATTAGGTTTAGAAATAAGTTTGCATCATATTCTCAAGTAACCTTTTTCTTAGAATTTTTTCTAATTAAGAACAAAAGAAATAAATTATATAATCTTATTTCATTGCCTTTTTTTTTTTTTTTTTGCCTCTTCACTCAGTCTGCTGCTTCTTTAAAAAGAAAAAATGTTTTGACAGTGTCAAATACCAAGGTTGGTACCGAAGTGAAATGAGGTTTTAATTCCTTGCGCTGCTGCAGGTTAGCAGATCTGTTTGTTCTCCTGCCGCTTAGCATATGACCTTGAGCAAGGCAGCAAGGGCTAAATATTTCAGAAAGTGGTCTTTAATTAGACAAATTTCTGTTCTCTGCTAAATGCCTTGGGGGTGCTTGAATCAAGATGCTGGAAAAACATGTTTATTGGGCCTTGCTTGTCTGAGAAGGAAAGCCAAACTGCTTGAGTAAAGAGCCTCTGCGACTTCGGCCACTCAGGGTAGAAGCAGCTCCAACACCATGTTCAGAGGTGGGCTCCTGCCTGCAGGTGCAGCCCAGCACTTAAACAAATGGAAAGTCAGGTGTAGTATGAAAGCTGCTAATGAAACCTGACTGCTTTGTGTGGAGGCACTGGATTAATGTTTAAAACTATTTAGCTGCCATGCTTTGCCTCTGTGAAAACCAGAGCACAAATAATGGCTATCAGATCTCTTCTTGCCCCTCTCACCCTGCTTTAGCTACTTTTAGCTCATTCTCTTCCTTGTTATTCTCTCTGGCTGCAGTTCACCCCTCTGAGAGTTTGTGTGGAGAAGCTGTGCCAGAGGCCTCCGAGCCCAGCCATCTCCAGCAGCAGCAGCGCGGCGGCCGGGCACGCTGGAGCAGACGTGGTGTGCTGCCCTCCGGGGCACGCAGGTGACACGTTTTCAGAAGGATGTCAGAGAAGTGACAGAGGTCCCGCCGGTGTCTGCAGTTTTGTCCCAGGAGGCATGGTGAGTGCTTATTAGGAATGTATAATGACTGGTGCAAGGAAACTTCTCACGGGTTTGTCACTGAGTAAATCCACTGCCCCTTTTGTTTAAGGTCCTCTGTTTACTGGTGATGCTGTTTTCAAGGCTTTAATGTAGTTACAGGGTGAGCTTTGAAATCGTGTATTAATGCAAAAAGCAGTCACAGAGCTACTAGGCATGTATAGAAACCCGTTCACAAACCTGGTGGCATGGATGCTCAGTAAGTGCTTTTGTGTCAGGCTATTTTATCCTTAAATTCTGAGGCTGACTTAAGTGGCTCTGGGTGTCTGTAGGCATCCAGCAGCCATTCTCCACAGATGCGTTATCTGCCACTGTTGCAGGTGCAATTATTTTCTGTTGCACAGGTTTAAAAAAAAATCTACACTGTAAACTTACTGGGGTCACTCTTGTGAGTCCCCTGTCAGTTTGGTCTCCTTATTTTATGCATGTATAAGTTGCCGTTTCTGAATAACCTTTTGAAAAAGTCTTGAAAAACTCAATGTGGCTGAAAAATCTATAGCAGGCTATTGTAACGACATAATAGAATATGGCACAAAAGCAAGACCTTTCTCCAGGTCTTTCTAACACAATCTTATAGCAGATATGTGACTGCATCAAGTACTATTGTGAAGCTTTTAAAAATTCCATAGAATAGTTAGCATTTTCTGTTCCTTCAGTTACAGATTGGCGTGTCTGTGTGTGTGGTTGCCAGTTTTATTGGCAAGTTTGTTAACTTCCTTGCTACCATAGTTATGGCTGAGAAATAGAACTTATTTTTCTCCTCTTCATTATGACTGTTTTTCCTCAGCTTGACTTATTTACTTAAAACTGCTATGTCTCAGAATCGCAGTTGGAGCCAGCCCCCTATTGCACTAAGTGCTATACATTAAAGGAACGATATGTAATGTTGCAAATAATGCTTGAGGCATTGATAGAACTGCAGCCTTCCCCATATTCAGCCTGTTGCATATGTATGCTGCGGTCCGTCCAGCAAGGAAACATTAGATCTGATTCATCAAGGTAGTTAAAGACAAGCTAATGTTCAGTAAATGAAAAGTCTCACTGATTTCCTCAGGCTACTCATTTGTTAGAGGCAGACAAATGCTAATATACAATGATGAATTGAATTCATAATGTACAAAACATGCATATGCCATTTGAGCAGGTGAATTTATAGATTATCATACTCTGATGATAAATACTTTGGGGAAAAATTCTTGCTTCACCACATGAGTTATCCGTGCCTCTCCAGACACACTACCAGCAAAAAAACAGGGATGCCAGTAGTGGGGGTTGTGATTTTCAGTGTAGTATTGAAGAGAGGTTTCAAGAATATGTATATGTGTCGGGTGAAAGCTGAGCAGCCAAGGGCAAAATAGTTATTAAATATTTTTTGTTTAATAAAATTAGGAATATTTCCTGAAATTTAGAGCTGTTGTAATAGCTATTATGGAAATATCTGTGCCATTATTTGACACATCTGAAACCTTAATGATAAAGAGGTTGCCAGTAGTGCCATAGTGTGCTGAGGAATTAGTTGTACTGTCACAGAACAAAAGTTTTACCAGTTAGGAGATGCAGTTGGGTTCACTGCCTTTGAAGTAACAGGATAAGAAGGAAGAGACTGTATGCCAGGCTTTCTGGCCTCCAAAAAGCTTGTGGATACTTTGCAAGCAAGCACACTACGTTTTGCAGAAGGAGGTAGTGGCCTTGCAGTGGGCAGGAAATACAGGATAAAGGCATTTCAGGTTTACAATGTTTTTAGATAAAAGAGATAAACTGCAGAGGCTGCAAAGGTTAAAAAGAAAAGAAAATCTAGCAGCAGCTGAGCGTAATGTCTCTGGTCTGAAACTGAATTATATTTGGACTGAAAAAAAAACATTTGTGATGCTTTTTTGGTTTGTTTTATTTTTATAAATTTAAGAGAAATGATTACCCTAGGCATTCTTTTCGTAACACCAACACACCAGGAGTGTAGCATGCTGGACACACTTTCCCCTTCACACCAGCCGGTGTCATGCTGATCCTGCTGTCAGCCTGATTGCGAGATGTCACCAGAATGCACGATGCTGCTGCAGCATTCTTCCAGCTGTCCCGGACAGGTGATTAACTTGCACACTGCTATGCTTAAAGGAAGCGGGGCATGCAGAAACAATAGGAGGATGCCTTGTTAGGTGCCGTGACCAACATACAAATCCTTCATTGATGAGAGGTAATTCCCCTGATATTAATAGGAAGGCATTCAAAACGTCCGTGTAAACCAAAATGTTGGGTTTACTTCTGTGCTCTCATCAGTGAGTAAATGTGAGATGACCATTTGCTTGTCGTGGCTATATTGATTGCTGTAAATAATGACACTCTAGAGAAATGAAACCTTAGGCTCTAAATATAAATGCTCAGAGCAGCCAAAGGAAAACAAAACAAAAAATTGTTGACAAGCTTAGGGTGGCTGTTACCAGGGGAAGCTCAGAAATGGTTGGAAACTTAATTCTTAATGGTTAGTAGTGGTTGGTATCTTAGAATTATCAGCTGCTATTACTTTGTAACTCATTGCCCTTAGGACCTTGCATTGCGATAAGACATTAATTTAAATGCAGTTCTGGCAACTACAGTTGGTTGCCCTGTGTCACAGCGTAGCACACAGACGTCATCCTGTAGTCAAGGATCTGTGCTTGTGCAGACTGTAGGTAACTTTCTGTAGTGCTCAGTTCTGAAATGAGTAATTATATTTGATGCTAATATTTTTCTGTTCTACAATTTAATAATATCAAAATTGACAAGGTATGGATACTGAAAGTAGCTATCACTCAGGCCAGGCCATATCTCTGAAGCTTCTGCTTATCTTAACCCTGCAAGGTCTGCTTTGCCAGGTGAGCTCTGCACGATGTGCTGCAGCTGGCTGTGACCACGCGATGTAAACCAGGACACTGGGAGAGAGACCCTGGCTTTGACCTTCACTCATGAGAAACTCACTGCGCTTTTATTCCGTGGTATCTAAATAAGAGCTGCACCAAATATACAATAAAAGAAAGTTTGTACATCTGTAGTGTTCTGCCTCCTGTGAGGGTGAGGCTTTTTTCTTTCCTTCTTTCTTTTTATCTTCTTCAAGAGCCTTTGTTCTCCTCTGGAGAAAGAGAAGGGGAGCAGCTTTGTAGCAGGAACAGAGAGAAGAGACTCCTGCCTGAAGATGGGCAGGATGGGGGCAATCGCAGGGGATTCAGCTACCCAGAAAGCTTGCTTCGTGCTTCCTCACGCTGCGAAGCTGCACTGCAGCAGGGCTGGTGGGGCACTGCTCACATCTGCAAACACTGCTCGAGTTAGGAAGGATTTCTGGGATCAGGAACCACTGGAGTCCGTAGTTACTAATTCTTTCCTTTGGACAAGGATGCATAACCTTTCTGTTAGCAGCATTACGTGACTGGAGCATGGAAATTCATCTTTTGACAAGCACAGTAGCGCTTGTAAATACTGCTTACATGAATGTTTGTATATGTATTTGTTTCATGTTATTATTACAGAATTTTTGGTAGCTTTTTGTGAAGTACTGAGTTTTGGCAGAAATCATATTTACTTAGCATATCTTTTATTTTAAGGAAAATCTTGCTATGTACTTCAGATTTTGTATACTCAGCTGAAAGAAACATCCATCTGTAGGAACAGGTCGGCGCTACGGGGGCACCTGGCAGACTGGGTTGTGGTCAGCCCTCGCCCTGTGCAGGGGGACAAAGAGCCAGCCCTGTAGTGTCAGCACCTACAAATGCCTCCCCTAAAATCCATAACCAGGGAAGTGATGTTTAGATCACTTCATTGGATCTCCATCAACGTGCTGATATATTTATCCAGAACCCCAAAAGAAGAATTGGGTTTCATAGGGGTGCGTCAGGAACAGGCACAACCCTTTCACCGCTTGTCTTTGCCTAATTGTGCTCTCTCAAATCAGCTCTTTAAACTCCAGAATTCATTGAAAGAAAATTTCCAGGCTGGCATCTGATTGTGGATCCTCTAGAAACAAAGAACTTGCAGAGAAGTTGTTTATTGTGGTGGCAAAGTAGTGAGAGTCAGTGCTGCAAAACTCCGGTACCCGCTTCCTTTCAGCTGCGTAATGAATCTCTCCCTGCCCCTTCACCTTCACGACTGAAACTTTCCTGTCTAGTACAGAAATCTCTCTCTACAGAGCCAAATTACCAGGCATAGTGGACCACTTTTTGTGCATTTAAGGAACGTTTTTCTGCAGGCTTTCCATGGAGAGAGCTCCAGGGCACCGCGCGTGCCGCTCCGCCATCCGAACCTCCTTAAGGAGTGGAGGGGTCTTTGTGGTCAGCGAGCACATCCTTTGTGCACTGCCTTGTGTCCCGCTGGGCTATAATGGAGATCTGAAAGGGGGGGTGTTAGGTAAGCCTTCCCAGAGTTGGACTAGAAAGATGAGGATCAATGTGCTCATAAAATGAATAATTGCGTTTTCTCGCAATAAATGACAATTCACAGTGAATAAGCTGTGTCTTCAGAAGCATTTTAATGCTTCGGCGTGGCTTCCCCACGGCCAGCAGCTAACGGAGATTTTTGCATAAAGGCGAGATATTTTAAACTGGAAGATTGCTAAGAGCAGTCCTGGCAGAAGTCACAGCCTGCCTGCCCGGGCTGTGGAAATGCTTCCTGAGCTATTCATCTCTGCCCTGTGCACAGAAGCCACGTTTTGGGATCAGGAGCGCTGTCTGCCTCTTTCAGGGCATTGGCTAAACTGCAGAGAGCATAAAAGCTTCCCTTCACTTCTTTTGGTGCTGATGTGGAGTAGCTGAACGCCGCGTGAATGTCTGAATGCGTCGGAGGGCGCATCCCCGAGGCAGCTGGGCACAGAAGGCTGATTCAGGGCAGCGCCAGCCCCTGCTCCGCTTTGTTGAAGCCCCCGGTGCCTGCGCGGGGAGGACAGAGCATGTTCTGTGCGCCAGGGGGGCTGCCTCGGCCCTGCTCCCCTCTCCAGCTGCACCGCGTAAAACATATTAATGCACCGCCACGGGTAGGCTGGCCACGTCACTGAGGAGTGGGGGAGAAGCCCACATTTAAAGCATTTATGGGCTCATCGTACAGCTCTTAGCAACTTCTCCCAGATGAGTTTCTCCCCGGATTTTTTTCTGTCTCCACCCAGACAGATGGCAGCTTTCTGGCCAAGTTTCCTCTCGGAGCGCTCCCACTGAGGGGTGCAGGGGATGCAAACTTCACGTGGGGAGTAGCAGTCCGGAGCTGGAACCGGCTTGTAAATCTTTTAGGGTGTGGCAGTAAGAGAAGACTTGAACTAAAATACCCTAAAAATAAAATGCCCTTAAAAAAAAAATAATTTTAGGTGAAATTAACTCAAGTGGGCACCATCCAGCTTTGGCTTAACTTGCCTGTTTTGTGGAGTCCTTTTGTCTCACTGTCTCTTCTGTCTTCATTTGTTTTTTCCTTTGTCTGTTATTCCCTGATCCTGCAAAAGCTTAAATGTATCTCCAGCTTCAGCTGCTGGGGTGGTTCCTGCCTTTAGGCATGTGCCAGGATTAGGGCCGTGCACTTCCCTTTCCTTTGGGCAGGGCTGTTCTGTGCTTGCCCCTTTGTTAGCCGTCCAGCCAGCTTGTATTTCCAGGTGCAACTGTAGTGCACCTGTAGTGCATCCGATTCTTTCTTAAAGATGCAGTATTTAACAAGGCTGCTCGTACCGAGCCTCTCTGCCTCTCAGAAGGGCAAACCGGCACGTTGCTGCCCTTAACTTTGTCGTAAGAATGGGGCAGAAGATGTTTCGGGTCAACTACCCACAGGTTAGCTCACACAAGCCTCAGAAGGACGATGCTTTCCAGCTGTTCTGTTGAACTAAAGCACTGGCATCTGTCGTAAGCATCGCTGGACCTGAAATATTTTGTGTATCTGTTAGCTGGTAGGGGTTGCCACAGCAATTCTAACTTGGGTGTTACCTTTCCATGTCCCCTACTGCATGCGTAATAGTAGAGCATAATTAAAAATAAATAAATAAATAAAATTCTGGTTTCTTTTACATGTTTGGCCACGTGCTGTGGGTTTCAGCTGGCACAAAGAGGCTGTGTGATGCCCAGCTGGGAACCTTTCACTGGTGACTGCACACTTTGGAGAGGAGTCGGTAAAGGAGGGAGTTCAGTGTAAAATTAAAAGCCTACTTGGAGAGATCACTAATGCTGACCAATTAATAGGAACAGTCGCTTTACTTTTAGTGCTTAATGGACTGCATTAATTAAGAAGGGGATGAGTTCAAATGGGAAAGTAACTTGTAATTCAGGCAATCAGCATTAGTCCTCACAGTGCACAGGCTGTCCCTTGTGTGGTGAAGATCCTTCTTCTCCAGGCTGTCTCTGCAGAGCAGCACTTCTTGTGCAGACACCTTTGGGCACTACTTTCCAAAATGTAGAAATGAGTTTTAATTCTGCAAGCAGCACTGACTGTCCTGTGTTTCTTTTTTCTGTGAACCAGTTTAATCTCTAATAATCTTTCGTGCAGGATTCTTGAACACTCCCTAGCACTGAATTCGAAGGAGAAATGACACTGCTCGGTTGAGAGAGTAGCTGTCAGGGAATCTTACAACATTAGTTTTATTTGGAAATCCTTTTCTTCCAAAGAGAGGAAAAGACTGGGACTGATTGGTGGTGTTTGGGTAAGTGCGCTGTGTTTTGGGTGCTGATCTGGGCTGCTGTGACCTGAGCTGGTTCAGGCACGCACGCACCAACCTCAGCTGCTTCTTACACCTCCCACGCTGGTGTTGCCAGTGGAAACTCTGATGCTCTCTCTTAGACTGTATCTCATGGTGGCTGTAGTGGTTTTCTTTACTTTCAGATCTCGGTCTTTCATCTTTACAAGTTAGATACGTTGTTCCTTGAGTTTGTGGAAGGTGTCTGAGATCATACAGAATACAGGCTGGTGGGGTTACTTGGGAAGCTTTCTCTGTTGGGGGGGAACACCTGCCAAGCTGCTGGTTTAGAAAGAAATGGAGTAACGATCAAGTCATTATTCTTTTGAACATTTAAGTCTTTATTTTTGTGCATTTGTCCTGCAAACCTTGCCTTCTCCTTTATAGCTGAGCACAAACCATTCTCGTTCACTTTCCGAAGTGGAAGTGCAGGAAAAAAAACCTTCAAAACTGTATTGATATTGGAAGTACAACACACATTTATGTTTTGTTGTTATTTTTGTTTATTTTGTTTTTGTTTTGTGTAGACATGCATGTGGCCATAATACCATTATGGACGAGTGTTGAAGTTCAGGTGGAGATTATTGACAGGGCTTTTTGACAAATGTCATTTTAAAAGCATCTCTGGAAGGGTGTTTTTTTTGTAGTTTTTGTTTTTGTTCTGTTTTGACTGTTGGTAAACATCACAGAAGAAGATCCAGTAAGGAGACAGATGCTGACTTAGTGGGTACACAGTTTGAATGACAAACCAAGATCAACAGATCATTATTTTTCACAGCAAGCAGAGAAGAGCTGAGAGAAATGGCTCATCTTAATGCCAACCTGTGCTGGTAGCAGCCCTCGCTTTCCAGAATGCTGCACAACAGGAGAAGCTCTCTATTGTACCATTTGGGTTTTTTGCTCTGTTTGATTGCAATTATGGTGTGGATTTTTTTTTTAATGTTCAGGCCACTACCAGTTTGTTCCAAGTACTGCCATTACAAAAAGGAGACTGATAACCTCATCTGCTCTGATTCAAATCAGGGATAATAAGTTGTTGTATATTGTCAAACTTCTCATTTTCAGGCTTTCTACAAGCTTTTGGGCTTTATTCCCAGCTTCAGTGAGCCGATGCTTACAGCAAGTCAATTAAGGCTAGGGGACACGGTCTTTTCACACTCTTTTGATATGCTTTATTGTTGCTCTTGCCTAATGCTACACTAAAGCTTAATGCAAGTCAAAGTAACTGTTGGAGTGAGTGTTCTGCTCTGCAGAAATCCCAGTGTGTCCTCAGCTTCTGAAGGAAAAAAAAAGTAGGCAATTCAGGACAAACTCATCAGTGCTCGTGGAGAGCAGCTTGGGAGACTCTTCCCACCATCCCAGTGGTTCGCAGGGGTCTCGTGTCAGTCTTGTTTAGCATTGTGGTGTGTGTGGAGGTGGTGGCAGTGTGCTCTGTGATGGCTGAGTGGTGGAGTCAATAACGGCTGGTGATGCTAGGTGACACTCATCTTGTGCTTCTGTGTCCAGCCTCTGAGGGCTGGGTGCTAAAGGGAAGTACTTCTAAAAATGCCCTTCACTAGCTGGCATCGGTCACATTGCTGATAATCAGATACGTTCACACAGGTGCTTTTCGTGCCTCTTGGTCTGATTTTCCCTTTGCCTACACAGAGCTGTGCAGCTGATGAAACACACACCGCCTCAGTTTTAAAACCAGCTTCTGACTTGGTTAATTCTTCCAGATGGGAACAGAAGTGTTTGCTCCAACCGATGCTGCTGAGCAGCCGGTAAGGTGAAAACTCTTTGAAAGTGCAGTCACAACTTGCCAGTAACTCACAGCTCAAAGAGCTGGGCTCTGCCTGTAAATACTTGTGCTGCGGGAACTGCTTTATTGCTGTCTCGGATAGCAGATGGCTCGCCTGTATATTTTGCTTTACCCAGCAGGGGCTGTTTTACCTGACCGCACTGGTGTTCTGCTCATCAATACTCCAGCCGCTCGGGATTGCTCAGGTTTGGGGCACTCCAATAAAATTAGGCTGTGCCGTGGGACTCCATAACCTCAGCGTGTTGTTCTGAGAGCGCTTCACTTCTACGCAGCTCCTGGTGATCTGCACAGCCCCTCTCCTGTGCTCGTCCCTGGAAGTTTTTTGTGAACGGTGTGAGCATGAAACAAAACGGTGGGGTAATCTGTGTCACCACAGCCAGCCTGGGATAGACAGAGCACTGGGAGCCCTGGGCCTTCTCTTCCAGTTTGAAATGCAGCTGGTAATTGCATCAGCAGGTGGGGGCGCTGGGCCCGCCAACTGTTGGCCCATCAGGGGATCACTGGGGTCACCCCTGGGGGTAAGGAGCCTCACACGTGGCCATGTGCTGGGGGAGGCTGTGTCCGTGCGAATCCAACTGATGCTACAAAAGGTCACAGTTCTTCCTCAGTCTCTTTTTGCTTTTATTCTTTCCGTAACTAAATGTCATTTAATTTATATCTCCTTAGTATTCTGAAATACACCACTAGTTGCATGAGCTAGCTAGGTTAGCACCAGTCCCTCCTCACGTGAACAAGCGGACGGCCGTCCTGTGTCTGCTGGCCAGGGCAGAAAAATGTGTTCACCGTGGTAGACACGAGGGGCAAAGGGTGGCCAACCACGGTGATCTCAAGTCGTTGCTTCTGAATCACTGCAGTCATTTTCAGCAATGTCAGTTAAAAAAAAAAAAAAAAAAAAAACAAAACAGGAGAAAAATAAATATCCTCTTGTAGGTGAGATGGTGGTTGGCTGAAAATGGGCTGAAGAAGCCACGAGTCTGTAGCAATACTTAAACTTTTGAGCAGGACAGCTGGGTTACATCAGTGTAAGTCTGTGCCCAGCTGGATAACTCATAAGCAGCAGAAGCTTCCAAACTGTGGCATGAAACTTAGGAGCAGCTCACAGGTGGGTGTGCTTGCTCCCAAGTTAGGAACACAAGGTTACGGGCTGGCGTGCCGTGACTCCAGCAGATGCATCGTTCTCTTGTGCTAGTGATAAAAAAATGAAAAGGCTAACTGGTACTGCCCTGCCACCTCCAGCAGGATCAGCCATATGAGCACACACCCCCCTCCCCTTAGTTCTAAATCTGCTGTTTTTCTCTGTGGCAGCATCTTCGAGCATATCTGCATTTGCTAAAAGTAGAGAATAAAGCAGTCTGTGTCTTAGACTGCAGGCAGTGCTAGGAGAAGGCTGTACAGGAGGCTGTTCTGCTCTACGTGTGAGAGGAGAGCAGCTCTTCTCTCCTTGGACCTTCTTTGTGAGGCTCCACAGGGAATTTTGATGATAAATTGACAACCTGTGAAATCATGACGTTTGTATCAAATTGTCCTCATGACCTTCGTACATCTTCCCAGCACCCGCTGCTCAGATTTCAGCATGAGTACAGCAAGCAGGGCTTAGGTAGCTCGCTAGGGTTGGGAATTACTTTCAACAAGTAATTGCAGTTCAAAAACTGCAGGATGTTTTGATAGCACAGATTTATTTATTTATTTGTTAATAATGAATATCTGCAAGGCAGGACAGCATTTCAGGAGATGTTTTGTCATTCCTGCCCTATACAATGAAGCAGATGAAGAAATTTCTAGCCCTGCATTTTGGAAAAAAATTATCAGAGATTTCAAAGGGGAAGGGAATTCCTCATGCAGAATGAAGAGGTGACTTCGAAATGCTGCAGTAGGAAGGAGATGTTTTCTAGGCTTCTGATTACGGTGCTGATCTGAATAGGAACACCCAAAGCTATTTTGACGTGATGGTTGGAAACAAAGCTCAAACAGTTTTCAGGAACGTCAGTCATACTCGAGGAAAATTTGTTTCCCTTTGTCATAAAATTGTACCACCCACTGAAATTAAAACCTTTTCTCCTCGGTTTGCTGGTGTGTCAGAGAGAAGCACACATTTAGCTGAATTCCAAGCAATTTTTGCCTCTTTCAGTATGCAGTTTGAATTTCTGCAGCATTAAGAGGCGCTGACAGTCCCGCAGCACATCCTCATTATAAATACGCGTGCTAAAGAGTCTCAGCATGCACAGCGAGAGCCGGCACTTGCCTAGCGTGTTTGTTTTCTCTTCCTTTAACCTACTCAAATTCCAGTGCGACCCTGTGCTTCTTGCTGCATGGCTTGGCTGGGTGATGAGCGTCCAGGCCCTGCTGAGGAGCGCTCTGCTCCTGCCCCCCCAGGCTGTGCTCCCCCATGCAGTGTGTGGCTGTGCAGCATCCGTGCTGGTGCTGCGGCTGCCAGGAGATGGATTTCCTTGTTCCCCTGTAAGAGTTTTCTTTCCTTCAGTAGCTTCTATTTTTGCTTAGCTTTTAGGGAAGTTTCCCTGTGTAAAATGTGTTGAATTCATTTGTTCCTTCTTGTGATCCCCTCCCAGTACAGGCATATGACTGGTAGGGCCTAGCCAGGTGACTCAATCCATTTTCCAATAACCGGTGATGAAAAGAGAAATGAAAAGAAATCATTCTCCAAGTTTTTCACCCACTGTGCTGCGAGGGGCAATGTTTGTCTACGTGGGAGGGTGGTCATCAGTATTTTCTGTGCTGGAGACCGGGCTGCCAGTAACAGAAAGCATTGGTGCTCTGCTGGTTATTTTCCCCATGCACTGCAGAATCAAACCATAAACATGCTACACGTGCTTCTGCACGGGTCAGGGGGATATCAAATAAGATGGCAATGAAATAACAAAACGATTTAAAAGAAAGGAGTGCAGCTCCTGTGAGACAGGTCCCAGCGCAGAGGAGAAATTGCTTGGGGTGCATCTAGAAAACTCTGAACACACAAACAGCACCGAATGCAATAATGATCCTAAAGAATTGCTTCTCAGCTTGGTGAGCTACAGTGCTTTGTTCAGACAAGTTGTAAGTTGGAGAGGGAAATTGGGGCATTAGGAGGAAGTAAATTGGCAATTCCTGTGACTGTCAGAGTAATAATGGGACAGATGCATAAACCCGGCTCGGAGAGGCTTCAGCTGATCCTCTCCAGGGCCTGTGTTGGCTCACACAAAAGCTTGGAGGGGCTCTTTGCTCACTGTTGGGTGAGGGAAATGCAAGTGGGGTTTTTAAAGCATGGGTAGAAGACTTCCACTCCGTAATTCCTAATGGCTTCTTACAATTGTTCTTACAATTGGTCCCAAATCAGCAATTGAAGGAAGTAAGTCTGATGCTGTGTGCCAGATTCTGAAAAACCCCCAGTCAGCATAACTCCATTGGATTCAGGGGCTGCGGCAGCTTTTCCACCACTCCTGGGTGTGGATGAACATCTGCCAGTTGCCTTAGTCCTCCACAGTATCCAAGAGTTAATCCTTCTTTAAATACCGCAGTGTTCATGTTTGCTGACATTTAATTGAAACAAAGCCTAGGAAGCTAAAAACAAGAGAGCAGGAGACTCCCCAAATCACAGTGTGCCCGAGTTGGGGAGAACTTTATTTCTGTGTTGGAAATTGCAAGGTTGATCCTAGACCTGAGTTTTCTTCTTTTCTTCTGCTGGATGTTCCTACTGCTGCTCGAATGTCTCAACATAAATTATGATGCATGCTGCACTCAAGTAGAAAAGCATCACATTTTTTTTCTTCCGACAATTACCAAAGGTTACACCAGGAGCGAAGACATTATTTAATTTAACGTTTTAGATCCATTCGAGAGAAAGTGCACTTGTCACTTGTGAAATTGTCTGATGCTGCCTGTGCCTCCAGCCAAAGAAGAAAGGATTTTGTTTGCTCCACAGAAGGGTTCTCTCATCAGCTGCTGCCACTTTGCTGTTGACATTGTACCTCGGTATTACTCCTAGTTCAAGGATCATAAACTCCGTCGGGTTCATTACTCACCAATTAATCTCAAATAGATTTCACTGTCTAATCGAGTTAGCTGCATTTCTGTCGTACACTGCCGCTACACCCCGTGGAAGACTTAGAGCAAGCTGGGTACAGAGGTGCTGTGGCATTGGCATTTTTAAATGTCAAAAATTACACACGGCTGTCTCGGCTGGGCTTTGTTTCTGTGACTCTGCCGGTTGTAGACGAGCCCTGGTCTGGGCGGTGTCCTCATTTGAGCCGTTACCTGCTGCTCACAGCTGTCTGCCAGGCCAGTGGCTTTCTGGGCTGTCAGTCGCTGACTTGTGTTGATGAAAAGAGGGGAAGAAAAAAAAGCTGCCTCTCACCCTAATTATTGGCTCAGGAAGTTATGAGGTGTGTCATGCTACATGGCTGGGAGATAATAGCCATGCAAGTAAACGCCACAGGATTTGTAAGTGTGTGTTCTGGTAAAGTAGGAGAATATTTTACCTGCAAGTTCAGGACTAGCAGGTGAGCACAGAGGCGTTCAGCAGGATCAGCCTCGCTACGGCCAGCTCCTGCTACGGGTACGCCGTGCAGTGCTGCTGCGAGCTCTGACTGCACGTCAAGGAGAATGATCCCTTCAGCTTTTTTAATGGGAAATACGTTAATTTGTGTTTCCATCTTCCTTTAAGTTATGCTTCTGCTTCTTAGAGCAAATCTGCAAGGAAGCCATCGGTCAATCTTTCTTTAATTAATATCCTTAATTACTTTGTAATTTCATCCTTCTCAGTCAGAAGCCTGTCGCTGAGCTGAATTCTCTTGTATGCGCCGTGTGGCAGGGATTGGTTTCTTGTTTCGCACGCCACCAAAGATTTTGGAGGAAAGCAGCAAGTATTTTGAGTCCTCTTCTGTCGTGTGCGCCTGGAGTTAGGTCCCCAGCCCGGCTGTCTGCCCTGGCTGGAAGTGCTCTGGGAAGGCTGGTGAGACCTCTACTTTTTGAATAATTTAAAAGCCGGCTCATCTATTTGTTTAGAGACCCCTCATACTAGGTTCAGGCTCACTCATCTCCGTTTGGGTGGCTCAGTGAATTATTCATGTCGCTCGGTGCGGGGTCTTGATCTTCCGCTGCAGGTTATCAATCCAAAGAGCGCTGCCGACCGATACTGCTTGCTTAGGAGCTGCGATGAGGCAGGAGCCTAAAGTGGATTCAGAAATTACGTTTTCATACCCTATTGTCATAAAAATGTATTCAGAATTAGGTTAAAAAGGGAAGGCTGAGGTAGCGCCACGCTTACTACTTAGCAGCACGCGGTTTCATGCAGCATTCCTGGAGTTACGCTGTGTGAGTGTGTCCCCGCGGAGCAGTGCTGTGGCTCACCAGCACATTTCTGCTCATTCCTGAAAACTGCAGCTCCTTCACGGGCTGTGGGACACCCCTGGGCTGGGCTGGCCATGGGCAGGCCGTGCTGGGAGCCCCGTGTGCTCCGGGAGGCAGAAGGCAGGCAGCTTCCAGCATCAGTCCTCTGTGTCAGGCCAGCAGGGTAAGGGGAGGTGGCAGGAAGATAATTGCATTCCCTGTGGTAATGAAGGAGCACTTCAAGTTGCTGATAGATTTACTGGGTTAATTACTGTGCAGGGCAGTGTTCAGCGCCTTGGTCTGAGTTTTGTCGTAGAGGTTCCTGTGACTATTAATGCCCGGGTGAACGAGGCTCTTGTATGCAGCTGCATTTCAAATATATTTAAGTGTGTGAGGAAAGAGAGAGGGGCAAGGTGTTGGCAGGCCGCATCAGGACGGGCGTGCTGGGGGCCCTGAGGCGGTCATGTAACTCTTGTCCTCATTTCTCAGACACTTGGGGCAATAGAGAACTACTCAACGTTTTGCAGTAATGTATTGGTGAGGGCAAAGTAATCATAAATAGCTGTCCAAGCAGGAATCATATTGACACTGGACTTGTGATTGTTTTTAAATTCAAGTACATCTTTTGTGGTAATACGAAAAGACTTCTGCTCTTCAGGTGAGTTACCTACTGACCCCAAACCTTAGCGGAGCACAGAACTCTCACTGTGTGTAAGCGAGCTTTTCTTTTTGTTATTTTATCGTTTTCCCTTTCGGAGCTGCGAGACATGGGGCAGAGCAACTAGAACTGTTCGGTTACCTTCCACACGGTAAGTCTGTGTTTGAAGAATCAGAACGGATTGGTCTCCTCTTGTCACACCAAAACCCTGTGCGTGTCCTGTAAGTCCTGGCCGAGGGCAGGTAGCAGCACCAACAGCCGGCCGTGCCAGGACAGTATTTCCTGGCGGGGTGTGCTTGCCTCTGTCCTGCACACCAGTAAAACCAGCTGGGATAGTCTGTGCTGGAGTAAAGCCTCTTCTGGGATCGTGATGCGTGATGTGTCTTACCAGGCTACACCTTTCTGTGTTGTCTGGCTGGTAATTATATCTCCTCCTTGGAACTGTCATGCCTGAAATAGTGCAGACTTGTAGTCAGCTGCTGTTGTTGAACTATGTTTGGAACCGAGCTGCAGCCACGGGCTGTGCATTTTTAGTCGTTCCTTATTTCTTCCTGAGAGTCTCGAGGCTTGTTTGAGAAGTCTGTGGTGTGGGATGGTATAATGCCAATAACGAAGTGCTGGGTTCAAAGTGAAAGGCAGCCATCCCAAAACATTTTTATTTTTAGATCCTCCTATTCTTAGTCTTGGATGCTGTTTCTCTCTGCCCTCCTTCAGTGTGATTGCTTGCCAAGCTGTGTGAGGCAACTTCAAACTGACATCCAACCACAGCTTGAAATGTGCCTTGAAATCTGTTTTAATTAGATACGAGCCATAATAATTTAATTACAGATCCACCCACTAAATTGTCTGTTTTGAATTTTAGCAGCCACATTGTGTACCGAAACAGAACTGTTTGGAGTAGTTACCTCCCTGATTTCTATCGGGGCCATTCAAGCTAGGAGTGCAGGAGCAGAATACTCTGGTTGTTTAACCTCTAGCTTGCTAATTACCCACTTAACACGTAAAATCTGCCAGATTTATCTAGTTGTAAATCAGCTCAGGCTTAACTACCTGCTCCTGGGGATGAAATTCCTGGTCCCTCTTGCAGTGAGGAAGCAGCTGAGTGCAGGATAGTTGGGGAGCGTGCAGTCAGCCGTCGGTGCCTGGAACTTGAGAAATGTCCCATTGCTTTATGGGCTGACCTTTCAGATAATTAGTTCTCATAAAGTGGAAATAAATAAGTATCACACATCTAAGTTAGCATTCCATCTCTCAGCGTGGATACATGGAGGCTGCTGTCCCAGGGGAATCGCTGCAGGGAGCTGCTGCTCAGTGATGTGCTAACACGTGAGTTAGCGCTGTTTAAGTTTGCAATTGATAAAAAGCCTGATAGAGGAATTAGTGCATCCCTGTCCAGGCTTAATATTTGGAGTAGGCTAAGTCCCTTGGTGACCCAGGCTCGTTGTAACACAGCAGGATGGAGATCAAGGAGCGAAGGCCAGAACTGAAGAGGAGAGACTGCGTCTGAGCAGCTGGCAGCTGCGGAGGTGAGAGCGGACATCTCGGGTCAGGGCAATTTCTCATGCAGCTCTGTTGCAAAATGCCACTTGTAATCCTCTGACTGATTGATTCCATCAGTCAATCTGTGTCCATCACGGACATAATCAGTGCTTAGACAGAGGGTGACAGCAGAACTGTCCTGGGGGAAAAGCACTTGCAAATATGCCCAAGCTACTGTGTGAACACACCTGAAATATAAACCACTGGTCAAGTAGGAAATACTAATTTCATTAATTCCGAATTATCTAAAGTAACTCATTAAGTACATTTTTGAAGGACTTAGTATATTTTCTTGTTAGCGTTATGGTGTAAATTTACTTTGCTAACAGGCAGATCAAAGGTAATCTTTAGATTTGGAATGCTCTCTATCTTCATATTCACAGACACGTAATTTCTAATTTGATAACTTCTATGTTTTTATGTCTAAATTCTTCAGACTTTTGAAGGATGTTTTTTTCAAAATTTTCGGACAGTTATTCTGGTGAGGTCCCCTCCACAGAATTTCTTAGTGGTGAGCAGTTAGATGAGAAGCTGTAAAATCTAAATTAATTCTGCTTTTATTGACAAGGTATGAATTCACATTTAAATCACTGAAATGGCATCATCACAAAATGTGAGGGATGGGACCATACATTTATGTGGGCAGGTACTAGAAAGCAGCTGAGGTGCTGTAGCACGATGATAGCTTGGCTGTGTTGGGAGAAGTTCAAAGCTAAACCTTGCTGAAATGAAACTTCCCTGCAGGGGAGGGGCTGCGTGACTGGGGGGGAGCCCATCATGGGGAGCTGGGGAGGCTCCGTGGCTGCAGCTCAGCTGGGTGCTGTGTATGGCAGCTGATCCAGCTCTAGCTCATTACGTTCCTCTTTGGGATTTCTCATGGGCTTGGGAAGAAAAGGTTGTGTTCTTCTTGTGTCTTTGGCTCTGCCAGAGGCAGCTCTGAAGGAAGGTGTTTCCTGTTGTGTCAAATGGTAGGTATCAAGAAAGATTTTGGCATTTTTCACATGGCAGAAGAAATGGTTGTGATGGAGGGCCTAACGTTCGAAGAATTAATTTTGCTGTTACCTGTTGTGGGACTGGGCTCTACTACTTACATCGGCTGCCTCTGAAGCAGGAAGCTGAAGGGATAATACTCGTCAGGTGCTTCTCTGTTTCCTTGGCTACAAGATAGTTTAAACACCATCTATTTTATTGGCATTAATGAAAATCTTCTGGGATACACATCTTTGCATGATACGCAATGATTTCATTTCAGTCCTAGGCTGTGTTACAGCGTGAGCTGGAGGGACGTTGTATTTTGGGTACGGATCCAATCACCTCCCCAGCAGAGAGAAAACGGTTTGGGAAGGCAGAAATATTAATGCTGTGGTATAAGTCTCTATGCTAAATACCCTCAAATGACATGTTTTATTGATTGAATCTTTCCTTCCGTGACACTAATATGATACTAAGAATTTTTTCCCCCCAAAAAAGTATGTGCTTCTTAGCAAACACCTATAATTATGTCAGAATTTTATAAAAGGTTTTCTATTTGCATAGAATAGCATGAATTTTGCATTATTCTCTCAAATAAAGCACAGAGAAGGAACAAATAATTTATTCATGCAAAACCAACCTGCATGAATCATTTATTTACCACTTCTGGTAATTTCACAAGCTCACTTTTTATGCATCAAGCTGCAAATTAATCAAAAATTTCTAGGGGTTGATTTTGTCTAGAGAAAAATAATAATCACGTAAATAGCTTCCCTTATACAGAAAATCATGATGTTAACTTTGGGGAAAAAAGTCCATATGGGGGATTATGTTTTTTAATTAAGTAACTATATGAAAAAGCAGCTATAAGAGGAACAGTTTTTGCTGGCATTAACCTTCAGAAAATAGTCTTAATGAAGGGTGGAACACAAAATTCTTCTCTCAAGTGTCAGCCTGATCTCTTTTCTGAAGCAGTCTCCAGGTGAAAGTCTACATTTGAAATATATTCCACACTGAGGGGAAGTTAATCATTAAGACAGCACTGTGAGGTTGGGGACATTTGGTCTTACATCCGCCAGTTGGTTTTTAAAGTATTGCTTTGTATTGAAGAATATAAGTAAGCAATGAATTAAGCTGGCCTTAAAATTCAGTGTGTTTGGGTTCAGTTCTTAGCTTCCTCAGCCTTCCTGCATGAGTAGGGCAATTCACTTGGCCTGGGTGTCGAATCTCCCTTTGGGAAGGTGAGCTTGGTACTTCACTTGGCATTCTCTCTTCTCCTTAAATCTTACAAAGAGCGGCTCTTCTAGCAAGGAGGAACCCATCTCAGAGAGATCCATGTGCCAATAACAAAGAAATTCAAAACCTGACTGGACGTGGTACTGAGCAGCCTGCTGTTGTAGCTCACCCTGCTTTGAGCAGCAGGGTTGGGTAAGGGGTCTCCAGAGGTGATCCCCCCTTCGTTCTCAGGGATTTAATGATGCCCTGAAATAATAAAGGAAGTGGAAGTGCCCAATGAAATGACAGAAGGATGCTAGGGTATATTGTAATTGAGAATTACTTGAGGCTATCATTTTATCCTGTGTTAAAAGCTTTGCAATTGCAGGAACATTATCCTAACAAAGCCGAAAAGTAATTATTGTGCTGCCATTTCTTGCCCGTGTAGTCAGGGGCCTGTCAGGATCTCCGTTATTATAAAACCGGCTGCAAAGGCTAATCTAACCTTACATGAAGGATACCTGCTTGGAATTTAAATCTGGTAGAGAGGTACAAATATTTTGCTTTGTTTTGTGTTTTGATTATTTTTTTTAAGTCTCAATAAATGGATAAGCTCTTGAGTTGTTCATTGGTATTTCTCTGTAGACTTGGTTTAGGCCACTTAAGCAAAATGCAATGCGGAATGATAGAAATGAAAGTAGTTACTGTTTGATGGATGCTTCGTAGCTCTGTTGGAAATAAATTATCTTAAAATGCATGTATTTATATCACAAGAGTCACTGCCATAATTGCAATTATCATACTCCATTGTCAGCAGTCTAGCAGACAAGATGCATACTAAATACATAGCAATGAAATATATTCTTGCTTACAAAGAAGGACGTTCCTGCTACTGTATAAATACAGTGAGGAGCAGAGGGTTTTTTCTCCAGTCTGTCATTTTATTTGTCTTAATATTTAGGAATTCTTTAAAAATAGATATATATTCAAATTCTATTTTGAAGAAGGTGCATTTTTCTTATCAGAAGCTGAAGTTTCTTTAACATTCCCCTGCAGGTGAATGGCAAAATCATTTCCTTGCTCTGGCGTCCCAACTATTAGACTCGTATACCTGCGTTCTGCAAACAGTGTGGTGTTCTCTGTGGTTGTTAATTTGATTGGTAACAAAAGCACTTCAGAGTTTATTGGATCTTCACAAGGCTAGTTTCAAGGGTAATTAAACAACTCATTATATCTGGCAATGTTAATTGCATTTTTAATTTTATTTGTATTCTGACATTTGCTCTAGCTTAAAATAGTCTTTATAAACAGGATCGAAAGGGGAAACTAGAGACAGCTACGTACGAGTTGGTGAATTATAGGTCAGGGAAGAGTGGGGATATTGCCCATCTCAGAAATGGAGCTCCCTGGGTGATTGACCTGTCGTGGTTGGTCTTCCTGTTAAGTTCAAAGTCTTGATGGTTTAGGGGAAAAAAAAAAAAAAAAGCAAGTTAAAATGTAATTAAACCACATTATGGTTTCTTAGATTTGTATTTGGTTAACCTCTTGTTTGGGTAGAGGAACTTAAAATTGCTAAATACACTGTATTTAAATCAACTGATAGGCCTTCAACTGACAACAGGCTCTTCCTCTGGAAAGATATGGGCTGTGTCATTGGAGGCTTTATATGTCTAGGTTTTACAAGCATGAATAGAGTCTTGCAGATCTTAAAGATGAGACAAAGATTCCTCTTCCCAGTTGGATGCTTTCAGAGAAGAACAGAAAAGCTGAGTTACCAGTGCTTGGTAGACTTGGATTTAAAAGAAAGAATTTTAGAAATATATTTAAAAGCCTCAAGGACAACATGAAACAGAAGAAAATTCAAGCTTGAAAACAATTTATTTGCTTTCTGAATAATTAAGAAGTCAGTGTGAAATGCATGATAATGCATGTCAGTCCTCAGCTAACTAGCTATGCTAATTTATTCAGTGTATTATAGTTGGCAATTAGTGTTCTTCTGCTAACAATATGCCAATTAAGCATTCTTGCATTTTATTAGTCATTTCTCTCAATCAGTTTTTCTTGAAGATAAACATTACGGTGCAGTTTTCGCAGGTAACCCACGTGAGATTTGTGTATGAACAGTAGGAGTCGGATCTCCGGGATGGCTGGTGGAAAGCTTCTGAAAGATGAAGACTCTCAATTTCCAGGGTAAATTGCATACAGCCCACTACAGCCCCCAGCACGTTCATTTGTGGTTGAATTATGTGCATGTGCAAAGGCTGGTGCTTATCATTGTCATGAGTGCTGGTACAGTTGCTGGGTGCCCTCCTTGGATTCGTGGTTTTTTGTGTGTTTGTGCCGAGGAGTCTCGGGCAGTATGTTGCTGCTGGAGAAGTCAGCCCGTCTTCTGAATTTGAAACCCATCCAGACACAGCGTGTTTTCATTTGACACAGGTACTTACTCTAACACGTGTTCTGTGGATCAGCGTTAAGCTCTGCTAATATCTGGGGGCAAATTAAAGCCTCTGTGATAGGTAGGAAATCTTTTTCTCCGAAGTCACCAACAGTGAATTCGAAAATGAGAGCTCGAGCGGATTTCTTAATAAAGCAGCCTGTTGAAGTAACAGGCAGGTGGGTTTCTGATAGCTGTTCTGCCTTGACTTGAGAAATGATTCATCAATTGCAGGAAATATTCCTGAAGATCTTCCCGTTAGATTAAGAACATGGCTTGAAGTTGGATTGGCATATGTGCTCTCAACCTCTCTAAAGAAAACAGCACAATTTCTGACTCCTGGCGTCATCAGCGACCTTTGTTCCT